GGCCGACGTTCTTTACGGTTTGTGCGTTAAGTTTACGATAATCGATGCATAACCGTAGATCTTTGTTCTTCTTCCGGACGAAGAGAACAGGGGCACCGTAGGGCGAACAACTAGGGCGAATCCAGCCCTTGTCGAGAAGGTCATCGAGTTGTGCGCGAAGCACCTCGAGTTCCTCTTCGCTCATGCGGTAGATACATCCACGCGGAGGGACGRCGCMAGCCTCGAGAGTGATCCCGTGACGTATGGGCCGATCCGGGACCGTTCCGGTGGGAGCCTTGAAGACGTCTCTATACTCGTCCAAGAGGTGAGAAATGCGTGGGTCCGACGGTGACGCAGCTGGTCCGTCCGGCGAGGGGAGAGCATGCAAGAATACAAGGCCCATCTCCTCGACGTCATTTCGAGCTATGGCGTCGCGAATTCTCGCAACGGAAACCACGTGACAAGCAATTGAAGTGTGAGGGGTCGCGACCGTACATGGGATTAACACTCCGTTCCGATCATGGATGTTAACGGTTCGGTCATGAAAGTTCACCAGATGATCGGTGCTACGCAACCAAGACATGCCTAGAATCATGTYGAACTTGGTGTCGAGGATGTCAAAAGACACCGGCTCGCGCGCAAGTGGCGCAAAGTATACCGGGACGCCGTCGACGCATCGGTCAATTGACTTTTGCGTGCGGCCGTCCTCGAGTGTAACTTGCGTAGGTTGTGTCTTCCTTCGAACGCGCGGGCCAAGRCCTGCGCGGGCCATAAAGGCTTGGCTCATAAAGTTGCGAGACGCTCCGCAATCAATCAAGGCACTACAGGTTGCCTTTCCGATTTGAATGCGGATATAGAGCAAAGGCGCGTCGGTTTCGGCGTACCTTTGGGTGGCGTACTCGCGGCCAATCTTCGCAAGATAGGAGCGGAGATCGACAACCGCTACCCCGTCGTCCGTCAATGGAGCTGGTACTGTAGTGTGCAAATAGGATCGTAGATTTGCCATCAAGGCGTTGCAATGCGGCCTTGGCAAGGTTCCGGTGGAGATTTATAATGAGGTATTATCGGGTGGGAGACTAGCTGCTAACATGTGTTGAGGTATAATTTCAGTCCTTTTTAAGAAGGGCGACAGAGCCGAAATTCGGAAATGGCATCCCGTTTCTGTTCTTAATGTTTCATACAAAATATTGGCTAAAGTTCTGGCAAGACGATTGGGACACTACCTTCCAAACTTAGTGCAGTCTGACCAAGCGGCCTTTATCAGAGGACGCTCAATTTTCGACAACATTGTTACGTCAATTGAAACCCTTGAAGTTATTCAGAACGAACAACTGGATATGGTCGTCCTTCTCCTGGACCTAGAGAAGGCATATGACCGGGTCAACTGGTCGTTTGTCCTCGCAACTCTGGATTCGATGGGCTTTGGCCAGAACTTTTGCACCTGGGTGTCGGCCTTATATACTCTATCCACCACTGCAGTTATGATTAATGGTCGTCTGTCAAATGACTGCCCTCCCACCAGATCTCTGCACCAGGGTTGCCCACTGGCTCCACTTTTGTTTGCTGTTTAAATGGAAGGAGTCCTCAACAACATTCGAGCACATGCGCAGATAGTAGGCGTACAGGCAGGTCCAACCCCATACAAAGTCAAAGCTTTGGCTGATGACTTGTTCGCGGTGGTGCAGAACACTGCCCAGTCACTAGGAGCACTGAAATGTTGCCTGGACGAGTATGTTTCTTTGTCCGAAGCTGCTATCAACTGGCATGCATCAGTTTTTTTCTCCCAACACAATTCTCGTTAGTCGAGGAATGGGGAATGAAGCACATTGGGCCAGATGAATCAGAACGTTTTTTGGGTGTTCAGATTGCCTTATCTAGCTGCATGGAAGCCCAACATGGGATTTTGCTGCAGAAGATCACGCAAAGGTTGGTATCTTGGGGCAAATCTCCCCCCCCTTATCAATCTATGGAAGGGCTATGGTCATCAATGGTGCCTTATTTGCATTACTGTGGTACGTAGGGAGAGTGTGTGGGCTGGGACCACAACTGTATATCCTGTCTAGAGGAAGGGCCGCCAAGTTTATTTGGAAGCCCTTCTCTGAAGAAGGCGACGCGTTTATCTCGAAGGTCGCTTGGGAAATGTTGTGCCTTGAGCAATGTTAGTGCTTTGGATTATTCGGGCTAGCCTTCTTACTCCCCCTCCCCATTGGGTATATCTGGCTGAAAAAATCTTGGCTAATGAATGGCACCTCCTAAGGTCGGAAGACGTGTGGACGTGCCTGCTGCTATATTCATATCAGCGCAGACACATCAAGTCCCCGTTCTGGTCAGGGATCATACAGGCCTGGAGAAAAATCAGACCAAATGTATGGAATGAACCTCACACTAAGAATTAGAGATTCTGCTGGGGAACGGTTCAAGGCAGACTCATCCCCAGCAAGCTTTGGCCGCACCTGGATAGAAAGGGGAATTCTCAGCATTCAGGACCCGTGGAATCCAATCTTGGGAGGTTGGAAAGCTGATGAGGAGCTGCGTCTCCAACTGGGCCAAACATAGTACCAGGAAGGCAAGAAACGCGCCATTATTGGAGCTATCCCAGTAGTTGGAAACAACTAATCTCCCCCGAAGGAGTTGACCCATCGGGTAGATGATTCACCGTCGTCCAGTCAGACCCCGAACAAGCCTGGGAACTGCGCAACATTAACAATGAGGGGGTCAGGGAATTTCAGTGTTGGGATGTTCAGCAAGGAAGGACGCTGATGCTAGACGAAGAACCCCTCGCCCCCCCCCCCCTCCAGTGGGGTCAGTCATGCAACAGATACGTGTCTTTGAACCCCCCCGACCAGATGACTCAATTTTCTGTCAAACCATAGCTAAGGGTACTCCCATCCTTCAACTGAAACTGGATCCGGCTTAGTGGGAGTGGAGAGTAAAAGGGACCAGGGGGACTAATGTTACCCTTGCTGATTACTCAATTAAAATTGGGTATGTCGTAAACCACCCTCTGAAACTGCCACAAGTAGTGGCTTGCGAAAGATGGACACAGCTCTTACATTTTGCTTCCGAAGATATTGACAGTGCCTTGTCTGTGGGCTGGGAGCAACTAAAACTGATCGTAAATCAAAGACGTGCTTCGTTACTATGGCTGGTATAACTCGTTTCAACCCCATCAGCGATGTGGTTAGCAGAAAGAGGAATGGAGATCAATCTCACCGGACTATGGTGCCAATGGGGTGCCAATGGGCTTTCTAGTCACAGTACACTTATGGTGGGATTGGCCCGCTTCAGCGCGGACATGGAAATGGTGGATAAGCCGTTGGGATCATATTTCTAACAGCTTCTTTCCATGGACCAAAGAATGGTCCCTTCTGGGTGGCCTACCACTTGACGTCCCAATCTCCAAAGGCTGGGGCTATGTGGCCCAGTCTGCTCGAGCAGTGTGTTTCACTGTTATTTAACAATGCAGGAATGACCGGATCTTCAAAAACAAGGACTGGTCCAACACCAAGCTTCACCCCAGACGTGCCATTTGGGCGGACTGGAGATGGAAGGTAGCCCCCTTCCCCCCCCACCCACTCTGCCCTCTCCCATCTACACCCTCATGGCCTGCATCTTCGTTCAAGGTTATGTATGTTGAGTGGTGATTCGATAGCCGGTGGAATTGTAATTGGATGATATGATGGAACAACCAGCTCACTCGGTTGTTGGCTTGGTCGCAGGAGACAGGCAGAGGGATGACATGGAGGGAGT